CTCCCCGCCCCGCCCGCCTCCGCTCGCCTCCTTACCCTCGCCCGGAGCTGTGGCTCGGCGGCGCAGAGATTCCGGGCCGGGAGCCCAGAGCTCAGGGGGCAGTCCTTCCTGTTTGCCTTCACAGTGAGGAGCCCTGCAGCCTCCGCGGCAGCGTCTGGGCCTCCTGCTCCCGAGAGCCTCTCTTCCCAGCCCCCTCCCACAGCCTGGGCCTCTTTCCCCTCCTCCCTCCCTCCTCCAGCCGCCAGGTCCCCAACCTCCCGCTGGGCTGGGGCCGGAGTGTCAGGGCGCCTGCAGCTGCCAATCCCAAAAATATTCTCTGATGACACAGCTGGAGGACTAAGCCCAGACTGGCTCCTGCAGGCTAAGTTTAGAGCAGGCGGGACCACCTGCCCGCACACTACCCCCGGTTCCAGCCCCAGTCTCAGCCCTTCCTCCAATGCCGGCCCCCCGCAGCGGCTTGTTTGAAAGGGGCCCCAGGAGGTCTGAGGGGCTGGCGCACTGTCTCCCTGACAAATAACACTTTTAGGAGCTGGCAGACCCCAGCTCCTAGCCTCCTGCCCCACCTGATGTCACTCCTGTGCTGGGTCGGGGATGTGACCCACATAGTGGGGTGTGTGTGTGCGTGGGGGGGGGGGAAGGGGTTGTAAGTGTGGGTCAGGTCACTTAGGGTGAAAACCCTCCCCAGCACCTTCCCGCACATTCCTGGCGGGAGTGGGAGATAAGGCTCAGGGCCACAGACATCTGCGTCAGAGAGAAGGTCTCAATGCCATAGGCAGGGGCAACTCAGACTGCAGGGCGTGGGAAGGCCTGGCGAAGACTGGGGTGAGAAGGGTAGAAGAGGGCGGGGGAGGGATGGGGAGGGGACAGTGGGGAGGTTCTGGGCAGACCCTGACAAAGGGGCCGTGATAGGGTGTGGGTTCAGCATTGACAGGGACAGGTGAGCCATGTTGCTACAGCTGCCACTGCTGCTCCTCTTACTGGTGGCTCCACAGTGGGGACATGGCTGCCAAGGGTCAGAGCTGGACCGGGAACTTGTCCTGGCCAAAGTGAGGGCCCTGTTCCTGGATGCTTTGGGGGCCCCAGCAGTGAACGGTGAAGGCGGGGACCCTGGAGGCAGGCGTCTGCCCCGAAGACATGCTGTGGGGGGCATCCTGCGCAGGGGCTCTGAGCCCGAGGAGGAGGATGTCTCCCAGGCCATCCTTTTCCCAGCTGCAGGTAACGAGGATGGGGACCGGGGGACTTTGAGAAGCAGTGTGGCACATAGCATGGGATTGGAAGGTAGGCAGATCTGGGTTTGAATCCCAGGCCTGCCACTCAACTGGCTTGGCAGCGTGGGCCAATGACTAAACCTCCCTGAGCTTCTGTCTCCTCATCTATAAAACGAACGGGCAATGATGCCTACCTCTCAGGATTCAGGGAGATGGTGCATTCCGCGAACGAACCACTCAGAGGAGGAGTTAAGGGGGTTTTCGCCTGGGAGGCCAAGGGTCTCTAGAGACAGAGATATCTGGTGTGGGACCTTTTTTGTCACCTTTCCTCTTATCTCTGTCTTTGCTCCCTGCTCCAAACCTTGTTTCTTTTGCCCCAAGTGGCTGAGTCTTGGGGAGACATCAGGGAGGCAGGAGAAAGAGTCGTTGGGAAACTTTTCTGGGGTACTTAGTCGAGCTTCTCTTCAGTTCCTTTCTCACCTTTCCTTGTTCCACTAACTCAATGAGGAGAGGGCTCCTTTGGGTGGACTTTCTTAGGGTCTGGCCCACCTTTCTTTTAGGGGGGACCCCTGCCCCCCTGCTCTTCAGTCCCCATGCAGCACAGTGAGTAGAAGTGTGGCTTTGGGATTGGGCAGAATCCCGGCCTGGCTTCTTAGAAGTTAAATGCCACTTTACCTTTCTAGTCCTCGGTTTCTCTATCTGCAAAATGGGTCAATTGTTGTGAGGTTTATAATGAGATAATCCATGTAACAGTATAGCCCCAGTTGCCACTTCCTCAGCTGGTGCTGGTTTGTGCTTGTTTATTATAGTCTGTGTACCTGTCAGGGTAAGGATGCCGACTGCCCTTTCTTAGAAAGAATGTTCCTTTACTCTTAGCTTTCCTTTCTCCTCTTCCCGCTCTTTATACAGTGGACTTGTGTTAAAGAATTTATCATGCAATATTTCTGACATGTAAAAAGATATAAAGTGTAATATAACAATTGCCTGTGAATGCACCATTCAAGTTGCCATCTCACACTAGCAGATGAACAAAACGTTAAGTCTAACTAACAATTCCAAGTGCTGGTGTAGGTAGAGTGGCAGGGCCTCTTGCACATTGCTGATGGGAATAGAAACTGGTAAAACCACTGTGGAGAGAAGCCGGCAATGTCTTGTATTTTTGAAATCCTTTTATGATGAAATAACAAGTGGGGAGCCTTTGTCAGTTCTCCCAAGACTGGGAAGAGTCCCTTAGTCTGGCAGACCTCTCAGTGGAGTGCTTGGCAGGCTCCTGAATGGCAGTCGCTTTCCTCCTGTCTAGGAGGAGGGCTCCTGGGCTCTGCCAGTCAGGGTTGCCCTCTCTCTAACCTCTGTCTCCTGCAGGTGCCCGCTGTGAGGACCAGCCAGCTGCAGGAGAGCTGGCCCACAAGGCAGAGGAGGGCCTCTTCACATATACGTTCCGACCGTCCCAGCACACACGCAGCCGCCAGGTGACTTCGGCCCAGCTGTGGTTCCACACGGGACGGGATAAGCGGGGCACAGCAGCCTCCAATAGCTCTGGGCCCCTGCTAGACCTGCTGGCCCTGTCATCTGGGGTTCCCATGGCTGTGCCTATGTCATTGGGCCAGGCACCCCCTCGCTGGGCTGTGCTACACCTGGCCACCTCCGCCCTCCCTCTGCTGACCCATCCGGTCCTGGTACTCCTACTGCGCTGTCCTCTCTGTTCCTGCTCAGCCCGGCCCGAGACCACACCCTTCTTGGTGGCCCACACACGGGCCAAACCACCCAGTGGAGGAGAAAGAACCCGACGCTCCACTCCCCCGCTGCCCTGGCCTTGGTCGCCCGCTGCACTGCGCCTGCTGCAGAGGCCTCCAGAGGAGCCCGCTGCCCATGCCCACTGCCACAGAGCAGCCCTCAACATCTCCTTCCAGGAGCTGGGCTGGGATTACTGGATTGTACACCCTCCTAGCTTCATCTTCTACTACTGTCATGGTGACTGTGGGCTGCCTACTCAGCCAAACCTGTCTCTGCCAGTCCATGGAGCTCCCCCTACCCCTTTCCAGCCCCTTTCTCTGCTGCCAGGGGCCCAACCCTGCTGTGCTGCTATCCTAGGGACCATGAGGTCCCTACGTGTCCGCACCACCTCAGATGGGGGTTACTCTTTTAAGTATGAGACAGTGCCCAACCTTCTCACGCAGCACTGTGCTTGCATCTAAGGGAGTCCTGCTGGTGGTCAAGCCCTGCCATCACCCCTTCTACTTCTCTGCCTGAGGACTCCCCTCCTCCCCACCCCTGCGACAATAAAGAACCCAGTGCATATTATGTCTATGAGTTGACATTGCATCCTAGGGCTTCTCTGATATGGTCAGGGTGGCGGGGAGATCTGGTCTCTGGGAGCATGGGACTGTGGGATCTCAGGTCGCTCAGCCTCACTTGACCTCAGAGATCTGGGGTTCAAGAGCTGGATTTGGATGCCTATCTGGTGGGAAGCTATAATGCTTGGGGATGACACAAAGGTGTTCCACACTCTTGACAGCCACTCTGGAGATAGAACTGGCCCTCATACCAGCTGGACATGATATGTCCATTGGGTTGTCTGCCCTGCCACACATAAAGGCAACTGAGGCACGCAGAGTGCCTACCTCTAAGGCGGCCAGAAGCCCCTCCCCTGTCATTCTCTGACCTAGCGATGGAGACCTACCTAAAGGTCAGGTGATTTGTAGAGTGGCCAGAGATCATGGCTTGGGGCCCCATTAACACAGAGGTTCAGAGCTGGTCAGATCTTGGATTTCTCAGGAACTAGGGTGGGACGTGAGGAATTGATGTGTGTCCGAAAGTTGACAAGGGCAGAGAGGAGGTGCAAAAATGAAGACCTGAGGATTTTAATTTGCTGAGGGCCCTGGAACTCCCTCAAACCTATCATTGGGTCTTGATGTAGCCCTTCATGAAGCCTGGTTCTTGAAATCTTTGGCTCCCTTGATGCACCCTGTGTATCTTTTTTTTTTTTAATCCCAAATTAAAATGTTTACAAATTTAGAGAGAGGGAAAGGGAGAGAGAGAGAGAGAGAGAGGAAGAGAGAAACATTGATGTGAGAGAGAAACATCAATTGGTTGCTTCCCACAGGTACCCCAACCTGGTACAGAACCTACAATCTTGGTATATGCCCTAACAGGGAATCGAACCTGCAACCTTTTTGGTGTATAGGATGACACTCCAACCAACTGAGCCACATTGGGCCCAGCCACCCTATGTAGCTTTCTGTTACCCCTTAACTGAGTCCTTAACGCTGGAAGCGTGGTAAAGCCGAGCCCACTGCTGAAAAAATGTGTGATCTTGTGTGAACCTGTGTACATTCTTTGTGTACATGCTGAGTTCAGAGCAGGGTGCAAAGAACCCCTTTCTTTTCCCATTGGGTCCATTCTGTCTGCCTTAATTGGCCATTGGGACCCCCACCCCCACCCCTTCCTCCCTGCTTTTTTCACTCTTCTCCCCTGGGTCTTG